AGGGGGGCGTAGGTCAGGGGAGTGCGGGTCAGGGGGGTGTGGGTCAGGGAGGCCTCTTCTGTACATCACAGGCTTTTGAAGGCACTGTGAGGGACATAGATGGTTCTAGACTTGATTTGGGGGGTGGTGGCTTCTGCCTCCCTATTTGTTGTCTCAGCCCCCTAGGCAAATTAAATCGTGAAGGACTCCCTCGGGCAGGCAATTTTATCATGGTTTCCCATAAATTCTTCAGGGAACTGAACCCCCCCCCCAAGTGTCAAATCCTACAATCGCCCCTGGTGAGGTATAAATGTTTTTTCAGGGGTTATAGTCCACAGAAAAGAGAGAGAAATGGCAGTGAAGCAGAGTGCTCTGCTCATTTTGATGACATCACAGGACAAATGAGTCCGTCCCGGTCTGATCGCTCAGGGGGGACGGGTTACTGGAAGCACATTGACAGCGCGGGGTCTCCCAGTTTAATCAGAAGTTAACTGGAAGTGGGAGTGATAACTGGAGACATAAGAGGAAGACAGAGATTTGTGAATATTATGTAGTGATGGTCCCCAAACCCATGGATGGGCGGGATTATGGCACAGCGGTCCAATGGGAGCCCATAAAATCACAGAGAAGGAAGACAGACTAATCAAAACGAGCTCATGATGTAAGTCAGCCATGGGTTTAATAGGGACTCTGAATACTGCTCTAATAAAGAAACACCAACGACTTTCCATTCATCTCTTTTTCCCCGGATGCTTACTAAGCATATAACATGAATTAAATGCAAACCACCTCTCTGACTGCCCCAAATTGGCCACATTCATTTCTGCATACCTCACATACTGAAACCAGCCGGTCTAGCAGAGTCTCTCTGGCTACAGAGACCACTGCCTGACTGCAGAGGAGGTCTATTCACGAAATGCACACCGCATGTGGCTGGCAAACTGCGGCGAGTCGACACGCCGCTCCGTGGCCGTGCTTCAGTTACTGCGATATATATCCGCAGCCAGGAGTGACCCAGACCACGCGGAACGCTGGGTTCCTGCTTTCCCTGGACCGCTTCATCATTCTTAATTAATGAGGCCCAGATACCCAGCTATGCTGCAGAAGGGATACGGGAGACGATGCTCTATTAACGCCCGTGGTGGGCAGCCCGTGGTGGGTCCGTAATGAGCTAGAGACCCTCCGCGTCGTGCCGGGTCATTTTCCACACAGCCTCGAACCCCAACCAGCACCCCCCAGCCCCCTCCCTCCACCAGCACCCCCTTTTCACCTACATCCCCTGGTGCATATAAAGCACACTGGCCTAGAAAAGGTGGCTCGCCAAGTCGTATGGGGGTGGGCGAGCATTACTGATAATAAAATATGCAGAATCGGGGTCGGGGTGGGGGGGTGTATGGAATTGCTTTCTCTTCATGGCTGTCAAACAAATATACACGTTCATGAAGAGCATTTACAGAACAATAATCAGGGACTGACGTAAATGTACGCTGCGTAAACTGATACGCACGCTGATTTCTTCTCATGACAGCGTAAATGCGCACTTATGTTATGTGCATTTATGCTGCTATGACAGGAAATTAACATGTATTTTACCCTTTGCACCAGAAATGAAGCACCCATAAAAATAAGCGAAGAAGGATCATAAACAATAAGTATGCATTCACGCTGTTACGATGAAAAATTGCCACACATATCGCTGTTTGCGATGAATGTGCCGTTATGTGAATCACTGTCAATAATCAATCAGCCGCCACCATCCTGGTCCCGTACAGCTAGCTACTGTGTCAGCTTATCCTGCCCTGCTCTCATGTGACTCACATTCCTGCGGTCGGCAAGGCTCCGTCTTTGTGGAGCGCCCGTCGGTTCAGGAACAGGAATGATCCTGGGGAACCAGAAGGTTTTCGTAATGTTTCGGAAATGGACCCGTCTGCGTTTCTCGCTCTAAAGGCCCTCGCTTACTACCACTCACGTCGATTTGTCGTGCCTGCGTTGCCGCCACTCCGGCTCATCAGCGTAATTATTTACGATCTCTCCCGTCTGCCCTTAAATAAATGCCGCCTCTAACAGAGCCGCTCGCACACACGGGCGCAGTACAGCTAGCCTTTTAACCGCCTTCCGCCGCTTTTGATAGAAGGTCACCGTGACATTCAGAGATGTCGAGCGACACAGCGCTAGTACAGCAGCCGGAGAGCCCGCCGTCTCACACCTCCACCCGCCTACGGGTGACCACCTCAGCGGAAAGACTGCTGGAAGGACTTCTGCTAGCTGGATTCCTGGAGGGTTTACATAGAAGATGTTTAGGTCGCGTAGCCTTCAATCCAGGTAATAAGCATGAGCAAACACAGCTAGCTGAAATTCATCACAGAGACCCCTCAGGTGAACATGAAAATATCTAAGGTGTTTCTCTGGTAAAATGGAACAAAGAGCGTTCTGAGTGGAGAGCATGTCCGTATCTAAATGCTCCACAGAAGGGGTTATGGATGGCTGCTTCTTCTGCTCTCCTTCCAATATCTCGCTTTCAATCTGGTGTTAAGGTATGTTAAGATATTAAGGCTACACGCTTCTTATGAATGCTCTATAAAAGCATTATGTAGGGACACCGAATGTTCTATGAATGCATTATAAGGGCATCATCAAGGTGCAGTTAGTGTAAAGTGTTACCCCACGTTTTTGCTCCTACCGGGAGCTGGGATGGAGCAAAAACGTGGACGGTCTGGCAGGGAGCTGGGAGGGAGCAAAAGCACGGACTGTCTGGGGCTCCCGAGGACTGGGTTGGGAAACACCAGTTTAGAGTGTCAATGGGCACAAATCTTTAGATCTACATTAAGCGGCTTCAGCCGTGAGGCTTTAATAATCTGCACATTCAAAATATTCATAGTTATTTGAGTACCTTGTAATTTGTGCATCATTACCATGATTTGTGTAACTTTCGGTTTTTATTCAAGGGTCATTGCCTGGACTACAAACGCTGCAGCATGAAGTGTTCAGAGCTGACCAGTCACACAAAAATGAGCGCCGAGCTTTGAATGCTAAAACCAGAACAGAGAAGCCCTCTCGCAGCCAGTTCGAAATGGGTTTCATGCTGAACCGCAGCCCCCTGGAGTTGGCAGACTGTACATGTGCTGGATTCACTCGCCTTTTATTTGTTTACACGCACAACCAATTTAAGACAAATGGAGAGAAAATGACGAAAAAATAATAAGTCAGTGAGATGCAGCGTAAGTCTTCTTACTAGTGAAGTTCCATAGTTGGGTATCGGAAAATAGCTGGATAGGACTGGGTTCACATCTAGGACACATGGAACATATTTGTGATTCACTGCTTCCTGGTGATATCTTTAAAGGAAGAGTGTGTGTGTGTGTGTATGTGTGTCTTGCGGGGACCTAATGTCCACGCAATGTAAGAAAATCTTTTATTTTGACCTTGTGGGGGCATTTTTTTCAGTCTGCAAAAGGGAAAACTTAATGTCATATAAATATGTGAATGCAATCAAAAAACTAAAATATATTTTGTATTTCATTTGGTTACTTATGGTTAAGGTTAGGGCTGGGTAGGGGTTAAGGTTGTTATTGTTGGGATTAGAGTTTTGCCCATAGAAATTAATAGAAAATCCCCATAAAGGTATAGATACCCAATCTGTGTGTAAGTGATTGCATACCTTTGGTTTCCATTATGGAGGACACTTCGCTCTCAACTTCCTCTTCCTCCTGTACCTCCTCCACTTTTCTCTGCTTGCAAGGCCGTCCCACCCTGTAGACGGTGGGCGGGGGGCAGGGGGGGGGGGAGATGGGACTTTCAGTACCCGCTGGGCAACGGACCAACCCTGGACGTGTCACCACCTTCCCCATGATGACAAAATTTCTGCGTTCAGTAACAGCATCGCGTGTGTCACTGAGTCGCTCCGGCTCACGTTTAGCTGAGGAAACTCGGACTCAAACTGCTTTGCTTCATGAATCTGTCTGGTTTTCCTTTGCAGAACTTGTACCATACCACTTTAAGGGTCACTGGCTGCCGTCCATATGCGCTTACGTATATTAATAATAATAATAATAATAATACATTTTATTTATATTGCGCTTTCACAAGAACTCAAAGACGCCTTACAGAGAAAGTACACAGAAAACAGATTCTGAGAGATTTACATCTAAATAAAGTCTAATAATAAATGAAGGATTACCATTCCGCTGCCGTCTTCCGAGGGGAAAGAAGGATACGGGAGTATCCCTAAGGAGTTCTATAACACCCAGGTAGGTGACGAGGAACACTGAAGTGCTGGAAAGCTCCGTAACACTGAACACCGACCTAACTGCTCACCCAGAGACACCAGGATCTAACATCTTAAAGCACTCGACCTTCAGGTGACCCCAAGGACATTCTAGCCAAGTTGGACCACCAAAGGCTATCGTTCTCCAGGGCTTGTCGAAAAACCCACGAAGTCACGTCAGCAACCGCACTCCGGCTCGCTCTGTTTTTCTGTTGGTCACCGAGAGACCGAACGGTTTGTGCTGTAAACCAGCGGAGTGCTCGGAAAACACCGATCACCAAGCATGAAGAATCGGTGCCTTCCATGAAAAGCACGCCCGCGACATCACGTTTAACTAATTATTTACGCTGTGTGTATTTCAATAAGCAAATTCACCAGGAGCATTTAGAAAAATCTAGCAGCACTGGTCATGCAGTCATGGGGAAAATGTGCGTATAAATGACTCCTTTTTAGTTGCATTACAATAATGCTTAATATTTTTTCAATGCCTTATTTTTAGCCATAAAGGGCCACAGATTGCCCTGGATATATGTCATAAAATTACTGCAAAAACATTGTGTGAGAGCCACTGGTTGTGTACGGATACCTTTAACAAATATTGTCAAGGATCTAGGTAAAAACCGTCATAGGCGAATGGCTGATTCTCTCATTAAAGGTGCAGAAACACGCAGGGCCTGGATGCATCCTGCTGGAGAACTTTCATCAGCGCGCTGTGTGATTCCTGCAGCCGGCAGGCATGCAGCACATCAGAGTGTCGGCGGCACACCAGCAGCGTTAAACGCGGGCCGGCTGGGTGCACGACCGAGCTGGGAATGAACGAGCGGCTATTACCACAGCGGGCGCAGTTCACCATCAAGGTGGGGGAGGGGGCTATGGGGTGTTTTAAAGACAGCTGAAGGTCTTATGTGACGGAGACGGCTGACCTCCTTTTCGGCTCGCCGGTGACGGGCTTCTTGGGCGCGGGCGCGGGCTCGGAGACGGCCACCTCTGGGTCCTTCGCTTCGCTGGGGGCCGGGGGCTTGCTGGGTGGGAAGGGGGGGTGAAAAATATCACGTCTGTCCCGATGGCACATATCTGGGTTCGGACCAGAGACAATTGAAAATGGAAGGACAGTGGCTCAGACATCAAATGGTGAGGGAGCACAGAGGAGCGTATGCAGTGCCGCATGTTCACAAGCTGCCTGTGAAGTGCACGTGGTATAAATGTCAGCCTACAGGGCGGCGCTCACTGCAAACTGCATCTTAAAACTACACCTACAGCTGTCACGAAGAGGACTTTCTCAAATACAACTAATCTATTCATCTACAATATAATGTAATATAATATATGAAATAATAATTTGCCTCACTTTTATGTGACTCACACACACACACAAAATGGGCAATTTGACCCCAGGTAACCTAACGGCATGTCTTTCGACTGCAGAGACGGAAGTGTCCAGAGTAACCACCAGCAAATTTGAGACACACAGAGCTGGCGCTGGGAATTAAGCTCCAACCCTGAAATGAGAGGCTATATGTGTACCCGTGGTGCCCCAAACCACCCTCACCCACATGGGTGCCCTTTCCTGCCAGTGAGATTTGTTCCCCAAAGTGATTCGCCCCGTGCTTGTGTTCGGGTCTCACTCGGTCACGCCGCCCGCTGTGTCCGGGCTCCCGTCCACCCTTCTGGGCCGGGCCGCCATCGAACCCGAGCCGGGCATCTCGCCGCTGAGCCGGTCGGGCAGCACCGAGTCCTTGTTGATGTTAATGTCGGAATACGGGCATCCCACAGCACTGAAAGCAGAGTGGCACAGATGCTTGGCATGACAAAGGAGAGACAATAAACCCCCCGGAGATGCAGAGACCCCCCCTCCCCCCCCGCCCCCCCGGTGCTGGGCTATCATCAAAGGAGCCTCAGAAGTAAATCCACCCCCTCACATAAGATTTCGGGTTTCACGGGGGCGAAGGCGGGAGAGAAGAGTAACACCACTGGAGAACACTAAGTAATTCACATGTTGATGGGAGGGTGATGCCGGTGCACATATCCTACCGGGCTATTATCCTACCGGGCTATTATCCTACCGGGCTATGATTGATGGTTCTGATATGCCTCCCTCGTATCGCCCTGACGTGCCATTTTTATGCATTATCAGTAAGGGTGTATACAGGGGCGGGGCCATAGGCCCTTTGGGAATACTGAAAGCTGATTGGCCCCCCAGTGTGTCGCCTCCCCTGTCACTCACCAATTCAAAACATTTCATTGGCTAATGATAATGCCAGCCCCCTCTATGTGAATTATAGCCCCTCTTATGCTTTAAAAAGATAGTCAGATAGTCCGATCACGTTCACTTATTTCCGCTCGATACTATTATGTTCGGTCACCAAACCATGGCCAGATTTGCTCAGCGTTTCAATGTGAACCACATCTTTACGGAAAGGTCTGGAATTCACACAGGACAGCCAGCCCCATCTTATTTGAAGTTTATTTTGGGGAAGCTCTGAACTCCTTGCTTTTTGCAATATTCACATCATGATTCTTGACATTTTTCCAACGTTGTGCAGCCACCTGGACCTGCTGGGTCCAAGCCAGCCAATCAGAATCTCCATAGCCTTACCCTGCGCCCAATCAGGCACAGGCAAGCTTCCTACATTATCTCATTCAAGGTAGAATCAGTTTCTTACACAGTTTTTAATTTGCAGCTCACCAGGGTGCCCTTATTACTATTATTACCTCGCGGCAAACTACACATAGGTGAGAATGTGTGTAATACACACTTCCTGTTTTTAAGCTTCCCAGCCTCATGAATACAAATCGTTAAGCTGCAAAGTCGGATCTGTACAGTATGTGACAGAGGCACATTAAAAAAGCCGTGTGTCCCCTTGCCGGTGATGTATATGATGTATATTTGGAAGGGGTGCAGATTCAGGGGGCCAAGCACCTTACAGGGACCCTTGAATATATAACAGAATACGTAAAATTGGGCAGGTGGGAGAGTCGTATATCATGTGCTCGCCCCATATCTCGAAAACGAAATGCTGGAAATCAGTGATTTGTCCCCTATTTTCGTACACATGTCATGGGGGAGTCGCCCCTCCCACTGCAAATATCACCCTGAGGAACGGCACTGAATGTGCATATTTGCATACTTGTGTCTGCCTTTGGTGCAGGTGGTCACATGGAACGCCGCTCTGGGGGAGGGTTACCTGTGGTGGCCGGAGTAGCGTGCCCCTTTGATATGGCCCATGCCCTTGCATCCTGGAGTGGGGCAGACACTCTGCAGCTCCTGGGGGCCTGTGAGGAACAGGAAGAGGAAGAGGAGGAGCTTAGCAGAGCCTGGAACTCGCCAAACTCGCCTTCGTCACATGCGGTCCCAGGAAAACTCGCATGCCTCCTCCGGTTTGGTTGCTGGCCCCACTTTCTGTTACCATGGCCACCAGCAGGGTGGAAAGATTAGCGGGAAAGAACATTCTGGACTTTACAGTGGCTTCTTGGTGAATAGGCGGTATCGACTTTTATTAATGGCAGTACCGTGAGACTTTCCTGAAATCTGTCCGTCCATTACTGCCCTCATCAAATTCCTCTACAGAGACAGACCTCGGCCAGCCAGGCACACCGCCTCTGTCCGAGAAACCCACAGCTCCATGTGCAGTCAGAGGGGAAGGCGGTGCGGACGAGGAGGCGCCAGAGAGCCACTCACAAATGGGGGGCTGGAGGGGGTGACCTGTCTTGGCACACCACCCGGCGGGGTGGATGTCCGGGCTGTCAGCGTCCACCCAGTAGTCGTACTCGTCGGTCCAGCCGTCAAAGTGGACCTGGGGGGAGGATGGGGGATATGGCGAAGGATAAACGCAGAGCTAGGAAAATATAAAATCTAATTATGAGATTGTAATGACACAGAGGTGGGAGGGCAGTGAGTGGGTATAGAGAGGAGTCTGAGGTGAGGGACAGACAGGTTGTTATGAGAGCTGTGTAGAGTGCCTCCAATGACATAACACTGTCGCCCCCTACAGGTCCAAGCGGGGACTGCCTCCTAAAATCATTACATTCCATGGCTGTCTCATTAACTGAGATGACACGCTGGGCACACTGTTCTTATTCACAATGGACTTTCTCTGACACAATGTTACTGCACAAACACTGGCTAGAAAACAAGACAGGCTGTAGGAAGCCGGTCAGGCCATCTGACGAGTGCAAAGTGGGGGCGGAGTTTGGGATTTCAGAAGCCTGCTAATCCAGCCAACCCGACGCATATTAATAATCCATCCAGCTGCATGTGTGATGTGTCTTTTTCAAATCAAATCTGCACCGCGGAGCGACGGCATGTGAACAGCGCAGCTGAGCGCTGTATCCCGCGAGGATAAGGTGGTCAAGGAGCGGGAAGAACTCGATGTCACCGCCTCCAGTGGCAACACGCTCGTCTGTGACACACGGCGTCCCATTTGCATCTAATCTTATTATTCCAGATCTCTATGATGTTGCCCAGCTACTGCAAACTGTAGAATACGGGGGCGACTTTATGACTACAAACATGACATCTGGATTCTAGAAGAGCCTCTGGTGAACAGACCTGGAAAGCCATTCAGTTTAATAACCTGCTTAAAATCATGCAAGGAATCCCAAATCCCCCCCGTACATGATGAGTACAGCGGAAGATGGACCCACCTTTATCCTGTGGTCGTTGGTGTCCACCACGGTGACGACCCTGATGAGCATGGTGTTCCTCTTGTCCACTGCCTCCAGCTTCATGCCCTTCTGGAAGCTGTGGGCTGGCTTCTGATGGGGGGAGGGTCACGGGGTCAGAGTAGTGCTCTGGGGGCTAACGAGGAGCACCTGCCGAGCGGAGGAGGAGCCACCGTACCGCTTTGAAGGCCCTGGCCGGGGCGGGCAGTGAGCTGGTGTCCTCCAGGTACCTCTCCCAGGAGAAACCCTTCGCATTCTGGTAACCTGTCGGAAGGAAGCAGACGGAGCGTCAGCGTGGAGGCGCCGTGATGTTTCCATGGCGACCACTGATCGGCGTGACCCATTCGCATCCTTACTGTAGCCTTGCTGAGAGACACAGGGCGCATCAAATTACCCAGCATGCATGAACTAAAAGGGAAGCAAAAATCCCGTGCGGCCCAGCGCAGAAAGTGTCCATGCTGGAGGACAGCAGTGTCGGACATCGAGAGCCCCCCAGCGACCCACCCGACTCGAATATACAGGTCATGCATGAACACTGAATCCCACCCCCCCGGACAAGAGAGAGGTAGTGCAGTCCTACTGACCTGGAGGCGTGGTCAGGACCTTTCCATTCTTCTGACACCAGTTGACCGGGTGAATGTAAGGGCTTGTGGCATCACACCTGCAAACGCATCATGAGAAGCCGCTCAGAGCTCCGGGATAGGTACAGGTCACATGGTACAGGGGTCACATGACCGGAGCTGTGCTCTCATGGTATGTGAATTGAGGTCAGCTTCGCGCTGCTTATTCCTGGACACTAATTCATTATGAACAGTACATATTGGTAATGAGCCCAATCCCTGAGAGACACCTTGCATTGACCCATATTCCAGGACGACCAGATGTCCTACTACGTCAGCCGTATGGGGCGGGGGGCAGATTATGAAGCCCCGCCCAACAGTCCTCTCACAAAGCATGCTGGGAGACCATCTCTGTGTCTGCGCCCTCGCTCAAGGAACACGCGGCAGTGGACACGGTGCCGAGAGCAGCCCGATAGCCGGGGGGGGGGGGGTCACCGCTGTCACTACATTAATGACATCACTTAAACCTAACTGGAGCCGCGGAATCAGTGACTTCATTAGGAAAGCTTATGGCTGATGTAACAGGTTGCCATAGCGACCCCACTAAGGAGTATTTACTAAGTCAGCCACTAATGTCGATTTTGAGTTTACTGGTATGCTTATTAATGGTGTTAGTGGAATGAGTCTGTACTGCATATGTTCCTGGAACCCCAACGTGTGGCTTAAAATCTGCCCCAGTCAGTGGTCCTAGAATCCGCCCTTCCTGGCAATTACACCCTTACAGCTCACCACGGCACTACCATTCACTACCATTCACTACCATTCAGCCGGCTGCCGTCCCGCCAGTTTCCATGGCAGTAATGATCATCTCCACCTCCGGCGAGTGCGAGCATGTGCTGCAAGACGCACCCCCAGCCCTGAGAAAACGGCACCTCCGTCGTCCCCACCCCCCCCCCCCGCGCCCCCCCCCCCCGTGACCTGAGAAGCGGTAATGAGAGACCCCCACGGAGGCCTCCACCTCCAGTATTCTCAGCCCCCCAGCCCGCAGACGGACGCCTAGGAATTCTGTCGCCGTCTGCATTTATGAGCAAGTCAGCCAGTAGGGGGCATGGACTCCGAACAGGGGGGAGAGTTTCTGTTTTACTTCATGCGAGCCGACAGGAAGTAAGTAAAGAGAGTAAAAAAAATATCATCTGTAATCCAATTAACACTGACCTCTTAGCTATAGTAAAGGGAAATGCAAATTACTCAGCGAGCATTCACTAAAACTAAACAGATACTTCATAGCAGTAATGTGTTCTGCTTATAAATTATATTAACCCTTTTGCTATCATATAACATTAATGATTTTATTATCTTTTAATTATAAATGAAAACATTCTCGAGGGTATTTATTAAATACCACTATAAAGACACTGTAAACGTAGTACATTTCAGAATTTAAACCAGAAAAATAAATTGTTGGTATAACCGATCACTTAGCACCACCTGCTGCTGTTATCTGGAACTACACACTAAGAATTTAATCAAGGATTCTGCTGTGAAACCACAGCAAAAGTGAAGCTGCTAGTGGCAGCTGTGGTGTGTGTGCAGCGTGGAAGGTTCATACGCCAACCTCAGAAGCTGACCTGAGTTATTACATCATCACAGCATTAACGGCGGTGCAAATGCCCCGTTGGGTAAAATAATTGACAAAAATGCTCAATTCATACTGAAAATCAAAAGTGTACAACAAAACATAAAAGTGAAAGACAAAAGGACACACTCAAGGCCAATTAAATCAATATTTTATGTTAGTGTTATTATTATTATTATTATTATTATGGAATGTCATCCTGTCCAGTGTATATGGAGGATGGATGGATGGATGGATAGTGATGGTGATGACTGTTCTCATTATTGTCCACAAACTGACTACACTGTCAGACGATGTTGTACTTTTTAGGGTTTTCTACTCAGACGCATGCGCGATTAAACAGAAGCCGAGAGTGCTGGAACTTTACCAGTAGTCATAGCTCTCATCCCAGTTATCGAAGTGCACCAAAAACCTGCTATCCACCATGTCCGTTACTGTGGCAACGCAGATCAAAGCGGGGTTTTTCTTGTTGACGGCTTCCAGTTTCATTCCGATTCGAAATCCTGAAGGGGTGACGGTCTGGAATGTAAAAGCAGGCTAATTATTTCCGTTTCTGTGCACGGCGACGAAGCACCTGTGTTAGTCTTTAAGGCATGGCTTCCCCTACCCCCCTAGCCCCCGAAATTCCCCCCCGCCAACTGCTCACTCCCAAATCCTCAGGCCTTTCGTGCCTAGCTGACAAGTTCAAAGGTCGAAGACAGGCAGAGCTTATCATCCAGTTTCTCTCACAAGCATTATTAATCTATTTACTATGTACATCTCTCATTCCTACTCATTCGACGCCTTCTTCTCAGCATTATGACAATACACTGAGGAATCCAATAAGGAGAGTGTGTACTGTCCCGTAAGGCTAAAAGGCACGTTTCAGGCCTATCTGCTGCCACAACAGACGACACGGGGTGGATAACCCCGCTCAGGGCCTATTCCCAGCGTTAACTAGCAGCGAGCTGCACTGAAAGGTGCAGAATCAGCCATTAGTGGCACTAAATCCCAACAGCCCTGGATCACTGGTGATTCTCATTAATACACGAATGATGGTGGTGGCCGACTGAACAAACAGAACATAAATAATCATCTAAAACTGCAAAACCGCGCTGACACACATTACTGTACAACATGCAAATGCAGTGCAGTCCGGGGCTTTAGCCTCGCAATATCCTCACGGCACAGTGCTTCTTTGGTCTGTACTTATCTGTCATATGATAGCCGTACACAGCGATGCAAGTGCACTCACCTTTAAACGCGATACGTGCAGCAGTCGATTGTTGTAACAGTGCAAATGCACATAAAATAAGAATGCAAACGAAAAATTATCATGCATTTTAACCTTTACCTGCTAATTCGTACTCAATTTGCGGTATAAAGGTTAAAATGCACGGTGGTTTCTTGTCATAGCTGCGCAAATGCACATAAAATAAGTACACGTTTGCGCTGTTACAAGAATTGATTGCAGCACATATCGCTTTTAAAGATGAATGTGTGCCACTAATGTGCATCACTGGCCATACACATACTGTAGCATGTAAGGCTCAGAGCTCAACATTTAAGGCTCTATACAGAACTTATACTCAGAACACAGCATTTAAGGCTCTATACAGAACTTATACTCAGAACACAGCATTTAAGGCTCTATACAGAACTTATACTCAGAANAGAACTTATACTCAGAACACAGCATTTAAGGCTCTATACAGAACTTATACTCAGAACACAGCATTTAAGGCTCTATACAGAACTTATACTCAGAAAACAGCATTTAAGGCTCTTTTTAGAACTTATACTCAGAACACAGCATTTAAGGCTCTATACAGAACTTATACTCAGAANAGAACTTATACTCAGAAAACAGCATTTAAGGCTCTTTTTAGAACTTATACTCAGAACACAGCATTTAAGGCTCTATACAGAACTTATACTCAGAACACAGCATTTAGTATTTAGGGGTCAAAACACGGCATTTAAAGCTTATAGCATTTAAGAGTGTAAACACAATTTGGAGATGGTGGGTGATTCCCAGAGCTAAACAGGAGGGTACTCACCGTGTTCTGGTTCTCAAACAGGGCTTTGGGCGCGGCCTGGGCCTTGCACAGTTTGATGTAAGATGGCCAGCTGAACTCCTCCTCTTTCATACCTGCCCAATAGGAAAACCCCTTAGGCAGCCCATGCTTACTGTGCTGTCAATTATGCACCAATCGGACCCTAAAATACTGGCATCTCCATCACCTCCGCTACCCAAGAGAATTGTATTTACTTAAGCAATGTTTCCCAACCCAGTCCTCGGGGGCCTCAGACAGTCCATAGTTTCGCTTCCTCCCAGCTCACAGCCAATCAAGAACATCAAATATCAGGTGCAGGTGTGTTGGGAGCTGGGAGGGAGCAAAAATGTGGACTGTCTGGGGCTGCTGAAGGACTAGGCTGGGAGAAACTGTACTGTCATTAACGAGGCTAAGTCCTTCCATAGAACTTACCTTTTGGGGAGTTCAGCTTGTGTCCCGTCTTCTCACACCATCCAATTGGGTGAATGTCAGGAGAATTTGAATATACCCAGAAGTCATAGCAGTCGGAATATTTATCAAAGTGCAGTCGGATTCTGTGGCCTGAGACCTGTAAATAAATCCACATTGAGGTGACCGTCAATGTGCCCTGCTCTCCTCATCAGTTGCCACGGAAACTAATAAGTCTGTATTTTTAAATATTACAGTGATGCCCGCCTATTGCAGAAGTTGTGTTCCAGACCCATCAGCAATAGGTGAAAATCTGCGATATAGAAAAACCATATAATTTTTATTTTTTTTTATAGTTTAAGCCTTAAAATACCATTCCCACACGTTTTAAACACATGTAATCTTATTAAAACACACTTTGGAAAGACATATGATATGCGGATGTCGGGCTAAGGATATGAATAACATAATAATAATAATAATAATAATAATAATAATAATAATAATAATATGTACGGTAATGTATGTGTATATATATATAGATTGATCCCCATGTGAGATTTAGTCTGGTCTTGTGCATAAAAAAATCCAATAATGAAATATAATATAACATAATTACTGGCCATTAAAATCACATTTAGTCATTACACAGGAGGTTTTGTCTGTGTAAGTGGGAAATAATCCAGAGCTCTGTGTAGCTTTTTACTCACAGCCGCTAATAGACTAGTTGGCAGCTGTGTTATTGTACATTGTCATCACAGGGCCTGACAGGATACTCATAAGCCAGCCAGCATCCCAGCATGCACTGCGGTCACCTCTGCCACTGTCAGCACGCAGTACATGGAAGGGTGTTCCGGGTCCACGCCCTCCAGCTTCATCCCGACGCGGAAGCTGTTCTTATTCTGTGGGAACGACTGGTGCTGAAACGGAAAAGCGGCCCATCAGACGGGCAGAACACACCGTCGAGGATGAGGATCTGCCCAAATGCAGCAGGCTGACAATAAGCAAGCACTGGAACAAGTTCATATTACCAGTATTTTGCTCATTTGGGTACGGTTGTGCTTCATCATTTTAATATTTACTCATTCCATCATTTTTAAAAATAAATATTACTGAATAAGTGCTTAACATAAAATTCTGAATAACCACATATATTAATGAGAATGTATATTTAAACTGTAACGGCTTGACCACCATATCCTATAACCCATATTAAGCCACTCTGGGTACTTGTGGTCTTGCTAACTTACCTCTGAAGAACAAACTTGGGGTGCAATGAATCATGGGATTGGTCTTTTTTAAGTGCTCTGCACTTCTGTTCTGTAGGTCACATGAATACTACTATTCTCCATTTAAGTAACAGCATTCAGGTCACCCCCCCCCCCATACTGTGACACAGACAGGGTCCCCTGCAGCAGTGAGCATCTCACCTCCTTAAACAGTTTGCTGGGGGCAGCAGTGGCTTTCATCCGCTCCAGGTAAGAGGCCCAACACCACACCTTTCTCTTCCCCCCGTACGGGACAGCTGCGAGAGGACAACAGAAATTCAATCCATTTTTTTAATTGAAAAACAAGAAAAATTACAGTAAAATGATACATGAAGGATACAAGTATTAATCATCAATCTGGAGAAATAAAAAAAAAAAAGAATTTAGAGTTTTCTTAAAGAGCATTCTGAAGTGTAATTTGTCAGGAATGAGCGACGACGTGTGGTGGGTGTCCACCTCACTGCCTGCTTGAAAAGCACCACTGAGCAGGCCCCCCTACTTACTGTGTTTCAGTAAGGCTGCATCCCCCCTCCTTTTTCGCCGACCCCTGTTCGGCCCTCGTGCCGTCTTCCTGTCTGCTTTCTCTTCCTGTTTGGTTAGGAGACAGACGCAAGTTTTTACAGCTTTTCTTCATCAGTTGTATCACGGGACTCACAGGAACTTAGCACATTGCCACAGTGGAAAAAAATAAATATACAGTTACTGTGTAAAATTTGTAGCTTGTCAAAGAACATAATGATTACTTGATCTTCATCTTGTTGTAAAACTTTGATATTATGTCTGTTAAAATGTTAGCCCAGCCATTTCTAAACCTCTGTATTTACAGTAACCATGCATGATTTTTTTTACTCGACCACTAGCACACTAGGTATAGCTAATTATAGAACTAACGGAGTTATTGAACTAATTAAGTTCATTAATTAATTGAGCTGGGGAGTCCCTCAGGAGAGTTTTGGGAACTGAAGCAATGTTCTTCCAGCTGTCCAAGAAGATATCAGTAAGTTTTTGAACAACAGAAGAAATTCTTGTTTGTTTTTTATTGTGTTACTGTTCGTTTGGATATATTCTAATGTTAAATTGAGTTTGTTGAGAAATTATACATTTACTGGCCAGATAAATAGCCTTTTCTTTGACTGCCTAAGACTTTTGCACACTACTGAATATATGGCTGGTCTCCTAAGCTACAGAATTAAAGTGGCAATGAGGTAAAGACCCTCAACTGCCTAGAGAACCAAACCGGGCAGGTGGAAAAGCACAACACGGAACAGGGCACTGAGTTCGACTCCGGGTTCCTCTGCGGGATCGGATATCGCTGTTATCGCTATAGCAGGCTAGGGGGCACTGAGGAGACATATCACTATATCACTGACCCATGTCATCTGCTGATAAACAGAGCCAACAGCCAATGCCACCCACATCTCTGTGGTCCTGAACATTGCCAACCCCCCCCCCCCCCCCCCCCCTCCTCCCCCCCCCCCCCCCCCGCCCCCGGGGTAAGAGAGCCGTGAATCCGACACCCACGTAGTCCTCGTCGTCGTCCTGGCCGTCCGCCGCAATCTCCATCTCCTCGGCCGGGATCCCACGTGACGCCACACACCGCTTTCGCCCAACGCTGACGGCCTCGCCGTTGGTGCTGGCTGTGTCCTTTTCCCTTTGGCGGGACAGAAAACACCCTGATGTTACTGCTAGTTACCTAGGTCCTAATGGATGGGATGATTTAAATGCTGTGGCACCACACACACACACACACACACACACACAGTCGGGTAAACATATCTTTTTGGGGACCACTCATTCATTTCTGTGGGAAAAATGCTAACGCTAACTATGTCGACCTTAACCCCTACCCAGCCCTAACCATAACCATAAGTAATCAAGCAAAATACAAGAGTTTCTGCATTTGTAGTTTTTTCATTGCAGTCACAGATTTTTAATAAATTGTAAAAAAAAAAAACAGGAATTCATCACGTTGTGGGGACATTGTGTCCCCATAAGGTAAGATATACCTGCTCACACACACACAGACACACACGGGTTCATATGGGGCCTCTTTACAGTGGACCCATCATCAGTACAAAATTAATAGCTATTCTAATTTTTCTACAGCACTCACAGCAGTAAAATCCATTCTGGGCAAATCAAATCAATCAAATCAGTTCAGTTTTACTACTTACAGTACAGTGTTCTACAACAAGTATGGGAATTTCACACCACAGATTTGTCTATAAAAATAAAACTGAGAGAACCTGTAAAACACACAAGATACTGCTTTCCAGGTTTCCGTTGTATATAAAGTGAATAGAAAGCACATGTGCTTCAGCGATTTTCACCATGACGTCATTCGTATTTGAATCAGTGGCATTTGCTTCATTACAGTCTTCCTGTCTGCAGCATCCAAAATGCTCTGCCTGTCACCTGACTGCACTGGCAGCTGAGGGGCAGGTCAGGCATCGATTGACTGATCCCATTAGTGCAGTATTTCCCAGTGTGGTCCTCGGGGACCTGCAGACAGTCCACGTTTTGTTCTCTCCCAGCTCCTGGTAGGTCTAGGAGGGACCAAAAATGTGGACCGACGGGCAGCGGATTGGGAAACACCGCACTAATGGGAATCAGAGCCTCTGTCAGGCAACACGGAAATGCTTCTGCTCTTTCCACACTCGTTTTCTCTTTGTTGCCATGGCAGTGGCACATCTCTGGATGCACATCACACTTGAAGATGACCACAGCTCTCCTTTGCAGGAGCAGTGATTAAAACACCCTCCGTCTGGACCTGTGCCAGTCTGCCAGTCCGCCTCTGTGTCTGACGCAGGCCAGTAGTACTACCCGTTTATAACTAAATTATAAATGCGAAGACCATGAGACGTTAGCTGTTTAACTTCTGCCGCTTACCACATTAACCACTCAGGGTAGCTCTCCGCCCTTGTACTGGGACCAGCAACGTTTATAGCATAATTTCCTCCTTAACCATTATGCTATACAGCTTCCGTTAAACCCTGAAGGCTGTGACAGCTTGTCCAAGACACTGATCCTCATCTGAATCAAATTCTGCAACCACATCCCTGTCCTACTCCACCAGCAGTACAGGAACTGCGAGCAGCATCATGAGCTACTGTTGAGCTATTAATAACCACAAATATGGGCATAATCGCTATAATTAATACCTGTCGTGACCTCGATTTTTTTTCCTGTGACGTGACTCAGAGGGATGATGTATAATCCATCATAACGGCTTAATCGTGTACAACAATTCCAGTTCCTCTGTTCTTCTAGACCACAGGATCCAATCAAGTCAGATTCCATTAATCAACGTTCAAATTGTGTCACAGGTCTTGCGGATTCCAGGGTTGGCATATGTGAATCTTTGAATAAATATATCGCCTCCAACAATATTTAGCTATAGTTCTTGAATGAAATTTTATATGATGGTCATTTCGTGGGCACCCCAGGTACATTTTTTCTCACTTACCTGGTGTGCCTAAGCTCTCATGTGGGTCTTATTTGGAACCCCTCTGATGCCCCCCAATTCGAACACTAATCACCATACATAATAACTAATGATGGACAAAATGACCCTTCATGAACCATTTGCTCTATTTTTTAACTCCACTAGATGGTGCTCTTGGTTTGCTTTGAGGCATGCATTGTGCTCATTTTTGAATAGAACACACCATCTAGTGGGGTCAGAAAAATACAGCAAATGGTTCGTGAAGCGTCATTTTGTCCATCACTAATAATAACCCCCCCCCCCCCCATGAGCACAGAACCCAACTGGACCAAAACTCACTCCTGCTGGTCTTGCCGGAGACACCTTTCGCTGCAGTGTCGTCCGTCGGCCAGGAAGTCCACGGAGGAGCCCTTTCTGTGGCAGCGGACACACACCAGGCCTGGCCTTGCCCACGGCAGCTCTGGGCCCCCCTCCTTCCCTGGGGCGGAGGCTGAAAACGCTGCAGGGACATTCACTAGGTTACCTCCATTCCTCCCCCAAACTCCAAGGTCAGCCAATGCTCCTTCAGGTCATTAGAAACCAGAAACGCACCAAAGCGTGCGTCTCTCGTTTTTAAAATTAGTTTGAAGACAGAATCAAACTACATTACTTCATTGCCTGAACTGTCGATGTTGCCTCTGGGGTAGTTAAATGAGTTTTATATTATTACCATTTATTTCTGTAATAAAGATAAGTATTTCATCCTATCCTGGGCACAAGTTACAAAGACGATAAAAAAATGACAAAAAGACAGAGCAAAAAAATATACATTTTATCATACAAATTGTTTATTGTGGGTGACGTGCAATGAAGTTGAAAGATTTAAAAACACTTCATCTTGTTTTGTGTTTAATGTGATTTTAAACCTGTTAGGTTAATGCGATTTTCGGCTACGTATTCGGGGAAAATCATTAAATCAGAGCAACAAATAACAGAACTTCGAAATACCTATAGCTTTAAGGCGATAACAGTTTCTCTTCATATAAGCAAGACTGAGGGCCGCCTTTTGGGCCATTCTGACAAGCTCAGAGCTGCACCCCAACTTTACAGTCTGGCTCTTTGATCCTGGTGTCCAGCCTGTTTCCAATAACCAGCCCCACCCCACCAAACACCAGCCCCACTAACGATACAATTTGGCCGATGTCTGAAAATATGTGAAAGTCTGGAACAAACAACTGCCATATGGAGAAACAGATCTATTTTCCAAAACGTTCCCCAACATTAAACTGCATTCCACCCTAGCTTGTACACATCTGAAAAACAATAACAATAAGCAACAGAGATTATGTATGACAAACCGTTAAGCTCTGTATGTACTCCGGGTCAAACCCTAAATGCGGCAGACATATGTTTGCAATCCTGCAGCATCAGTTTTTACACACAGCACAAATCGGCCAGCAAAGAAATAAACTTCTAACATGACCAAAAAGGTGTTTTCCAAAATCTGATTGAAAAATCCCCAAAAAAGCCCTCTGGGATCCTGTCGAAGTTAATTAGCAAAAGGGGCACGGGAACAGGAATCAACACTGGATGGGAAGACCTCCACCGCCTCCATCATTTGGATCAACCTACATCTCTGAAGCACGACTTATGTATTACAATAACATTTTTAAATAAATGAAAGCAATACAAAGTTTCTTTTCTCTGGAATACATTAATCACTGAGTCCAAACCATTACGAAACTTGTGTTAACAGATGACATTTTCATGGTTTTCAAATATAGTTAAACCTCAACTTGTGTGGGTATTTACACACAAACATTTACAACAACAGTAACTCACCCTACCCCCCCCCCCATCACAACTTCCAGCTGAGATTCAAACTAAGAACCTTCTGATTCTGGGTCCCTGTCCTTAGCACCACCCTGCCTGAAGTCCCAGCTAGGTCTAGGGCACAGTTTCAGTCACGGTAAACAGAAGATGCTGGATCCACCTGCTGGTTTATCGTACACTGGGGTATAGCTAGAAATTCTGGGCCCCCTGACAAAATGTCACCTTGAGCCCCCCCCCTCCCCGTCCAATTTCACATATAATTTTATGTGTTCAAGGGCCCCCTGTAAAGTGCTGCACCCCCTGAATCTACCAGGGTGGCCATGTCCTCACCACACCCCTGATTGTACACAAATTTAATGACTGATACAGATCTATGTACCCAAGCACTAAGATGAACCTTGCAGAGACCTTAATTACGATGACAGGGGAAGCAGTATTTCATTCAGTGTATCATTGGTCTGGCATTGTGGGTCAAAGTGCACATTGATCTAAGGCTGAGGTCAGCAACAGGATCAGTCAGCATGCAAAGGGCAGTCAGGGTCAAAGGTCTTGCTCAAGGGCTCAAATGTGAGAGGATTACGCAGGTGGCCAGATGACTTTTCATTAAAAGTATCTTTAAAAGTGATATGATCAGCAATCGATTGTTGTAACAGCGTGAATGCGTACGTATTTTATGTGCATTTGCGCCAATATGACAAGAAATTATCCTGCATTTGAACCTCTATACCGCAAATGAAGTACGAATTAGCATATAAAGGTTAAAATGTGCGATAATTTCTTGTCATATCGGCGCAAATGCACATAAAATATGCACACATTCATGCTGTTACAACAATCGATTGCTGAACGTATCGCTTTTAAAGGTGAACGCGTACTTGCGTACCAGTTATGTTAATCCCTGGCTATAAACCACATTGTCCTGGGCCTAAGAAAGTGGATACAAAATTCAGGACCCCCCCCCCGCCCCAAAAAAAGATGAATATCTGTGAGCCTCAAAAAACTCTGTTCTGTTTTCATATGTATCAACCCACACCCCTGTACTCCAATTTGTTTGCTGTATATAAAAGGTAGCCAGTACTAGCAGTGCCCTGTTCAGTCTAAGCGGAATAATTGCACACAGATGCAATGGATGACCTTAGTGGGAGCAGAGCAGCGGACGGCCAGCGAAGGCTGGAGCAGCAGTGGTGCAGCAGACGCAGAACAGCGAGCTGAGGAACTCAGCCTCTGCAGGAAGCGCAAGCGAGACACTTCCCCTGTTTGAAAAGTGTCTGACAAACATTAAAACTGTTAAAATGCCTGAGATTCGGCTTACGAGACGTTTCTAAAATGAAAAGGAAGAAGCACGCCATTTTGCAAGATGAACATCCACACCGGTACGGTTCCGCCCATCGCCCCTCCGTAAATTGATGAGTTGGGCCTTATTTACGGCTTACTGACATGATCGATGTTATGTATTGGTGTACTAGCTGCAGACAAGAAAATTTACTCTGGATGCAGTACACCTAATGTCCATAAGATGGAGCACTTGTCTCTCAACCAATTATTCATTCCTTACAGATCAGAGCAACCACACCCCTCAGTGTGTCATGTAACTATAATGTCCTGCAGTAGAAGGCATAAAGGGGCAGTGCTTACCTTCCTGAGCAGTAGGGATGGCCCAGGTGGTGGTGGCATGAGCCTTCTTAATGCCCTCGGGTTCTGCATCTTCGGTGATGACCTCCAACACGCCGAACTCATTCACACGAAACTGACAGCCACAAAAGAAGGCAGCTTCAGTACGCCACCCGAGTCCTGTGTCACGTGACAGGGGTGACCTCACACGCTCGGCTCATATAGCCTATTCCCCCTTTCGGCTTTGCTGTACATCCACACGGGATCAGAAAGTATAATTTTTTCATCTGTAAACGCTGGAGCTAATTTTTATAAATGATGCCGATTAATAGTTTGTTTTTTTTTACCAACAATTTAAACAGTAGGAATTGCCTCTCAGTATTTTCTTGCCTATACAAATAAAGTCTCCTGTGTGTAGTCATGACATTAGTACTTTAACACAGGCAAAATGTCACCATTTTATTACGCTTGCCAGTTCACTGGCACAGGCCTCCTCTCAGAACCGCGCCCCATACCTTCAGCTCGCTGCCGGGCAGAGTTCCGACTCCGTCTGTCCAGTCCATGGCTCCGTAGACGTCGAATTCAGGGCAGCCAGGTCTGGCAGCCGATTCTTCCATATCAGACAGATCTGACACACGTTCATTTAGACATGTTTCTTTTATAAACAGGTGTTCTTTCAAAACAAAACATTTATGACTGCAGCTGCTTCAAAAGGGTTCAAAATGTAGCTGATACCTGAGCTACAAACATGGGCACTAACACAAAAGAGAAAAACGGGACTACTTATAAAAACAGTTCAATATAACAGACCATTTTAAACTATATTACAGGGGTGGGCAATCTTATCCAGAAAGGGCCACTGTATGTGTGGGTTTTCGCTGCAACTCCCTAATTAGATTACTAATTAGAGGACTGATTGGCTGAAGGGTCCTCACACCTTGGTTTGAGCAGTTGACCTAAAGGTTACACCAAAAACCTGCATACACCCCGGCCCTTTGCGGATAAGGCTGCCCACCCCTGCTGTATTAGGTGTATGTTTTATACAGATACAATCTAAGTTAAACTACTCCACGTCAATTGCACTAATTATGTCTGAAGTGGAGCAGCACATACATAAAGTGAAAAAGAAATTTGAAAATTGTTTGATACATAAACATTTGACAACACAAACCAGTCTACACAGATACATACTGTATAAATATCAACTAATATTTTTACATATTATATACATTTCTCCAGCTAAAGAAAAACCAGAGGAAGGTGTGTACATTTAACAAAGTCCCCCGTATTTCCATCTAAAATTGAGAATTACAATAGGTTAGAAAAATCATACAATACTGTAATAGCAACACCCTGCCACTAGAGGTCAGTGTTGTCCAATTCTATACAATTCTGCGCCTGAAACTTTCAAGACCTATTCAACAATGAAATCTCTCAGCAAAAAATGGAGACTAAAATTCACGCGCATTTTATTGACGTGATTGATACTTAGACTGAGGTAAATGTAAATATGCAATGGCCACTCTCCTCATGGATCCCTTGCCATTATAATCACTTGTTGCAATTAAACGTTTTACGATATGCGCATCTTGGTCGTATAAAATTAAGTGATGGCATTCAGTCTGCCAGCCACATTAACTAAGCAAATCGCCGATTTATGAAAAATAAAATATTTCAAGAAAGTTTACACGCTCGTGCCGGTCTTTTTATACGACCTAAAAGGAGCAAAACACGTTATATGTGTCCGCAGAGACCAAAACATTTAAATCAGCTAATTTCACGAAAATACTTTTTGAATTAAGACAAAATTAATTTATATTTCAAGCGCGAAAACAGGGTGTTGATTGCCTGGAATCTATTTCTCCTGGTCTATTGTTGTCAAATTCCCTCGGTTTGTTTTTAAGACTGTTAATATTTATTTCATGCTCTCTCACCCAGATACTTTTTATTACGAGTATTACGGCTATTAAAGACTCGTTTCGGGGCTAAGAGCGGTTTTTGTTATCAATAAAAGAGCTAGGTGTGTTTCACATACAGTATAGCCTCCTCGGCGTAAGACGCAGATCATGCATTGTATCTCATATAAACACTTTTCTCTGCTCTGATACTATTTAATGTGTTTTAAAGGCAGTTTCCCAAAATGGCGGAGCTGGAATATACTCTATATAATTCTCACCCGCAGGCCCGCAGACACGTTGCAATAAAACAAAAATAATATTTTAACTGTATAAAAACCTTACTGGAAGGAAATGGTGATTGAAATATTTTTGTCTCGCTCGCTTGACTAGCGCCCAGTTCCTGCTGTTTCTCAGCCGCTGGACCTGGTATTATTTCTGAAAGAGTATAATAAATCATTTAATAGTCGTGCCTAAGAAACAACAAAGGTAGTGCAACACATTTGCCATCGATTTCGGCACATTTCGCAGCTACTTTTATTGTAATTTTATTGTGTAATTCATTACATACTCTATCACACTGAACCTCTTCCTGGCTGAAATTATTGATGACACGTCCAGTCGTTTTGTACTTTATTGCTAAGTTTTAGTCCAATTCAATCGCAGCGAAGCTGAAACGAAAGTATAATACGGAACACTGCGTATTTATATAGGGGGCCGTTTATGGCATAAACAGGTTTATCCTAAAGTACAATTGTTTAAATTTGTCTGTTTCTTACCCAAATTCTCCCACGAGTACTGACAAATTGACCAGGCAGCAGACAATGCGCATGAGCAGAGCCGGGCGAGAGCTTGCAGGGGTGCTCTAGCTACACACCGAGACACATGATGCCACACATCGAAAGTTTTTTAGCTGCTACATTCCCCCAAAAAAATAATGTTTAGGCTTGTAAGCACCGATCGCCGCACAGTTTTACCCTTATAAGCGATCGGGGCGGCGGGCGGATGAAAGTGCGACGCAACTGTACCGGGAGCAGAATGAAATGTATAATAAAAACCAGCACGGTTACCATTTTGTTACTAAAAATAAAATGTTCAGCTTGCTACACAAGTAAAGGAAATGCCACTGTAATAGCCGCACGAAACAAGTGCGAATGTCAGCGATCTCACTGTAAAAATATTGTGATTGAAGAAAGTGTTTATAGCACTAATATAGTCGTCCCATTAAGTCTGCTTGTTTTCTGACATTTCTGATTTAATATTATATTTCCGCTATAATATAGCATAGTTCGTTTTCGTTTCAAAACGCAAGTTCGACGACAGCAAACGACTGGCAGCATAAGTTGGGAATTATGAAAAGGCATATATAGGCCTAGCAAAGCACAATGTAGAAAAGAAGTGTACGTGCAGGTAAAAAAAAAAGATGTTCGTTCAACAGCATTTCTTGTAACTTTGACCTAATGTCGATCAATTGGCGAAAACGCCACGTGATAAGCGGTGCACAGGCAAATCACTGTTTGCACGCCCGATTGCTTTGCTGAAACCTACTATAACCATTCATATCGATTAATTTAATTTATTTTAATGGTAAACGCGGAAGCCCCGCGTTATGTGGGCATAGCAGCATTTATATAAGCCTGTACGGAAAAAGAAAGTATGCTGGTTATGAGAGAAGGTGAATACATACAACGCTGGGTTCAAGTTCGGGACAAAGAACTGCACTGGCAGGGATCTGTCACGCATTTATGCAAGGATGACTTTATTAATGTCTGACTAAAAGTGTGAAATATCCAGTATTTCAAATGATAGTTCCTTAACTGATGTTACACACTCACACGTTTTTCCTGAACATATTACCTAAAAGAGGTTTCATGCTCTTCAACAATAAGAACCAATCTAAAATGAAACACTTCTCATTACTTAAATAATAAATACATATACTGTAGTTTTATGTGGCAAAATGGTTGTTATAAAGAAGCATCTTGCTATATGTAGGAAGTCACATTTAGTACATTATACTTTAGATATTTCACAATATGCTACTAATTATTCTATCAAATATGCATAGTACAATTTTTGTGTTTATAAGTCCCGCTAAGACCCTCTGAATATAAAATATTTACAATGAACTATATTTCAGCACTTTTCAGTGGTTCTGTAGTTTGGTAACTTTCCAGCATGTATCTCATTATCAGTCATAGTCTTAGGATTCCCGTTTGTTTAGATTATGGTTTCTGGTAAGTACATTATTAATAAGCTATAGGCAGAATCCTCATTTTAATTTGTTGTGTTAAGTGACAGGGCATCCCTTTAAGTGTTTTTTTTGTTTGTTTGTTTGTTTGTTTGTTTGCCCATGTCAGTCTGCTATTACCCTGATGTGTTGACCAAGTAATTTACTTAAATTTATGGAAAACAGCAGGACTGCGATAGATAAAGGCTGCTCAGAATGGCATCAATAACTCTTGGTTATTTGCCCCAGGTGAGGGGGGGGTGAGGAAGACGTTGGGGTGAGATGCGAAGACTTCTTTCGTCAGGGTGTTTGTCAGGGAGAAGCCTCGCGAGAGCCACTGCCTTGGATGGTTTTATTGGACCACAATTGATTGTAATAATTACTCAAGTGGTTAAAGCATTCATCCAGAGTTGCCAGGTTGGGCCATCTGCCTCCCGTCTACAAGATGTCAACAAAAAAGCACTGTCCAGGGACGGATGGTGGGAGTATGCGACGAAAGTCTCCCCAGCAACAAAAATAAATAAATAAGGATTCTCACACAGACACCTGTGACATTACAGGCCTACTATGGAATGTAACAGTTATGCTTCTGTCATTTAGTTTTTGGTACCAACACTGCAGTCAATGCTTATATGACAAAAACATGAACGTTTCCATCTTGTAGAGAATATTTGCTTTTTTTCCCATGTGGTTTTATTAATATCTCATGTGTCATCTGAAGCATTTTAGCGTTTCTCACATGCAGACCTACGCGCATAGAAGATACTATAGCCAAAGAGCCAACGGCATCGTTTTATTTAGGCTAACGACAAATGCCACTGGATTACAGAAACATAGAAATACATTGTTGTTCTGTTGTTCTTTCTGTTGAATATCTCTACTTCTGTGGCCCATTCCTACAGGTCTAGATGGACGTATGAAGAAGTTCAGGGCAGATCTGCATGTCAGCAGAATTGCGTAGAACACCCCAGCCTCTCAATCAAGCTGTACATGCATGTGGGGTGTGGGGTGTGTGTGTGTCTGTGGGGGGGGGGGGGGTCTCAGAATTTTCTTAGAAGTATGTTATTTGTAGATCTTGTCATCTACTCCAACGATGACATGTCAAGGGTTTCATAATGGATGACTGGGAGAAAAACAAGCATCTCAAGTAGCTTCAGTCACAGTGGCTGTGTGACCTATTTGCATTTAATTTACTCAAAATCAAGTCTGGCTTGCTTCCCAGTTTTCTGGCAGCTGTTTATATTCCAACAAAATAATGCCAAATTAATATCCTGAACACTGAAAGCGAACGCAGAGGCTCGACGTGCAGAAGCCAAACGATGCTAACGTATTTTTAGCGACTGTGATGCTAACGTATTTTTAGCGGCTGTGGGCAGTGGATGTGGGCCGGCCGGCCGGGACTGGGCTCAATCCAGGCCAGCTTGAGAGAAGCTTTTCATGTTGGTAATCCCATTAGGTCTGTCCCCCGTTGCCGTGGTGCCCTACCTGCCACCTTCTGTCCCCATAAAGGAACCAGCCTCTATTCATGTTTTTGGACTACTGGTGCAGGTGTTGTGGCGCTACGCTAATCAAGCGCCTTGGGCAGATACCGACTGAGACCAAGACTGAGGAAACATGGGTAAGTTTCCTCGGCCTCTTGGAACTCCAGGCGAGATCGAGCGCTGCTCCGGAGCTGGATCCCATATGCTCTGGTGACAGTGAGCCCACACTGGTCTGCATGTTCATTTCCTGCAGAGCATCGCATCCTACCAGCTCGGAAATGAGAACCACAGGAATCCCACCTCAGAGCTTCCTTTCACACTATTAATGTAAAGATTTACTTCATTTGCCACACCTGTACTTTATTAGTTATTGTTTACGCAGCATGTTTACAATGTATCTCTTTAAATAAAAATTTTACTACTTATGTATTCAGTTTACTTCATATATTGTTTATCTATTTATTTACTGCTTAGTTTATATTATTTGCATTGGCTTGGGAAGTCACTAAATCTCATTGTTTGTAACGAACATTTCTGGATTTTTAATCACATCGTGAGCTTTTTAAAAGTGGATACATTAAAAAAATGATTCATATACTGTAATTTTAGATATTAAATCTCAAGGAAAATACAAGTCCGTCCAGAATTAGTGTACTTAGCTTATATACAGTATATGTATATATAAAGGACAAAATGCATATCTTTCACTTGAATATAATTTGGCAAATATGTGAATAAAGTAACTGTTGTTTCTGTGTCTTTTGTCAGGTTGTCCTGTGGAAGCTGTTGATCTGTTTGGGCTCCTTCTATTCCCTGTACTACATCACCGTCAGCCTCTGTGTTGGTTTTCTCAGGTGGGTTGAAACATAGAAAAATAAAACAGAGCACTTCCTTACTTTTTCTCTGTGCCGACCGCATGTGTGCTACGGGTGAATGTCACTTCCTGTCTCAAAGATTCACGCAGTTACACTTACGTGGTATCATATCACTTCTCCAATTGTTTTTATACCTCTGGTAGACATCCTGCTGTTAACTGTCGCTGGCATAACTTTTAACAAACTACGTGATTATTGAGAATTGAAGGCAGCGAGGGCCCTCTCACTGAGAGATAACTACACTGTGTTTAAATTCATATCTGGAAATAATCTATCAGTACTGTGCCTGGGTTATCACCTACTTACATTCAAACAATACATTTGCTGCATACTTTATATTTATCAACTGATTTCACATGGTTTATCTATCCTGATTATCAGGTTGGAAGATGTTAATATCTGGTTGGCACCCTTTGACTTCACTATACAGGATTCATGGGAAAATCCAAAATATTTAGGTGAGTTTGAACAGGACTGCAATGTCATGATGAACTTACCTTGTCTTATCTTATCGGTACAAATCAATTCTTAGAATCGGTGACAGCAGTGGTATAGGTTGTAATGAAGACTACTGAACCTATGTGACAGTGTTTAGTGTGAAGAAGAGGGATAAGTAGCTTTTCAGCCAGCAGGTCTGTGTGACAGACTCCCCTTTCCCCGTACAGTGAGTGTGACAGACTCCCCTTTCCCCGTACAGTGAGTGTGATTTCCACCGAGGTCACGTATCTCCTCAGTGGGCTGCTGTTTGGGTGGCTGGTCGATGAGTGCATGTGGGACTATGCCATCACCGTCACCCTTATCCACGTCGGCTTCACTGTAGCAGGTAAACACTGTCACATGCTACGGAATTTTCTGGCCAGGAGACATACAGGGACGTGAGCGTCATAGAAGAAAGGATGGATTTTTAAAGAGTGGCATTGATCGAAAACAACTATTTTGAATAATTCAGACTGCTGATTTTTGCCCTTAAGTGAGGGGGTTTGTGCCTGTAATGGGGTCCAGGCAACCCCAGTGACCCTGATCAGAATCAGAAGTTACAGGATGGATGGATGGATTTTTCAAATGTAGCTTTGAATATTGCTTTTTTATATCTTGAAAACACTTAATTTTGCCCGAGTGTCTCAGGGTATCACCATGCACTGATTTAACAGAATTAGTCGATTCCGGATTTTTTCCAACTTTTCTTGTCTTTGGAGACTTTCAGGTTTGCATTTGAAGGAAAAGCAAACTGAGCGATCCTGAATAAAACAATAGCATCATTTCAGAGTAGCTGCTAAAGCTTTACTTGAGGGGACATAAGTAATTTAGTAACTCAGTTACTACTGAAGCAGAAATCATGAACAAATATAATAACTGCATGAAATACATGAACCATTATGACTGACTGATGATGAACGAACATGGAATCAGTGCGTAAATAGCACTTAGTTTCTGGTTATTTAATACATACAAGTAAGAGTATAGTACTACATTATCTGTACTCCCTCAAGTAAAGTGTTGAGAGTATCATTTAATATTAAAGTTCTACACTTTCATATAAGTTGAAATGTAAGATAATAAAAAATATTTTTAAAAAACTGAAAGAATTGAATTTGTATTTCTGGATATATACAACATATATTTGTAGACTGGGCCTTGATTGCTCCTAGTAAATATACTCATTTATAGTATTTGGATGTATTTTCAAATGCGGTTATGTTTAAAATAGAATAAGAAACAACAATAAGCAATGCTTAATTCTGTTAGTGAAACTGGATTTTTCGTTGAGAGCATAATAATATTCATGTTATGACATCCAGTTATCTTGTCTATGGGTTTAATTCTGTATTATGATTTTTCACTTCAAAAATCTGGCACTGAAACTCTTCCTCGTAGGAGTGGCCCGTGTGCTTAGCCTGTCCCTGTCCTCTGCTCTCCTTGCAGTGATGTCTGATTTTCCATCTGCGGAGCACTGGTGGGCTGCACTGGGTATGACACACTTTCTCTGACAAAGTAGGAACAAAGTCATGGCAAGAAGCACTCAGTGTGCCATTAATAATTCATGAAATTAATAGATTTTTCCCCCCTCCTTGATATTGTGTTCACTGTGGATATAATGGGCGTCCTACAGATGCTTTGCATTCTGGGAAATAGGGGACCGTGCTGTTAATGAAGCTAGAGGGAGAGGTATGCAGTAAGCACCTACGGGACCAAGGGCGCAGCGTGTGCACTTCTGTTGTACCTTTGAGAAATAATAGCTTCCGAAAAATGCCTGTTTACCTGTGAAAATGGGTAAAAACGATGGTATGTACGTTGTGCTTAACATCTGCTGATGTAAACTGAAGTTTAATCACACAGTAGAGGTATTTCAGAATACATTAAGGATGCAGGATTATGTACAACACGACCTGTTTTGAGGCCATGTCACATGAGCAGAGAGGAGGCTTGAACCAAAAAAAGAATTACAGAGCAAACAAATGAGCCCATTAAATGAAAGATACTAAACACAGACCTAAACCTTAACACCCTAGATCAGGGGTGGGCAATCCTTTCCAGAAAGGGCCGCTGTGTATGCGGGTTTTCACTGCAACTCCCTAATGAGATTAGTGATTGGTTGAAGAGTCCTCACACCTGGGTTTGAACAGCTGACCTAAAGGTTAACCCAAAAACTTGCATACACACCGGTCTTTTGCGGATAAGATTGCCCACCCCTGCCCTTGATCATCAACAACTAACACCATTATACTCTGAAGAGGCCCTTTCAAGTTCCCCCTTATACATACTTTTGGAATCCACACAATTGGCCAGAGTTATCTCTAGTAGAATGATCAGTCCAATTGGGAGTTCATTAACCAATCCAGCCAACTGATCAGTCACTATGGAAACATGACACTGATTGAACCTAGTACTGTCTTATTGTTCTGCTACCATCACCTCACAGTAAGTCAAACTGAGGTAATTGCGTGACTGTGTTACACCTATATTGTGCAAACTTGATGTTTAATTTTTTTTCTGGGGTCTGTGCTTCAAGTTTAAAAGCTGTATCCTTGAAACTTGTGCTTTTCATTTTCATATCAGCCAAAGCAAATTATACAAAGATTCAAGATTCAAAAACTCTTTTGTCATCACGCAGGCACAACAAAATCGGAGTTGTCTTAACCTCAAATGGTGCATTTATATAAAGTTTTAAATTTAACATTTGATGACATTGAATATTTGCTGAAGCATTTCATTTTCTCTCCTTAAGGTGCAACAGTAGATATTCTCCTAGAATTAGCATAATTTTGATCAGAATCTAGTTGATTAATCATCATGTCATCCTTGAGGTAATTGGAGATATGTGTGGCATCTATCCAGAGGATGGTATTTACAGTCTTATCACGATCCTCACTATAATCATTTTAGCATCAAATGTTTTTTAGGGATAAACATGATGTACAGAGAGTCAAAGACCAAAAAAACCTAAATTGATTCCTTTAGAATTTGTAAGAATATGGCTGATCTATGCTTTCAGCAAAATGTCATTTTGATGATGATGAACAAAAACATATATGAAAGGTCATATAATGTCAGCAGAAGGACATTCGGCTGCCTTAGCCTTTGTAGTGAAGTGTAGTGGTGTTCTGCTCCCTGCAATTCCTGTGTGGTTTGATAGCTACGTATGTTTTAGAAGTGATAACCTGGCAGAAAACACACCATTAACAAACGTTATGTTCCTCTTCTACAGGTTCCGGGTTGCTAATGATGATTTGCACTGGACAGCTTCTTGCATACAGGCTTCTCAGAAGTAATTTTGTGCATCCAGCTGATCTTCAGAACTTCTAACTCACATTGTTTATCTGTAAAAGTACTCAAATTATACTTAAGTGTGTATAGTTAATATTTGTTATGTACAGTTGGAAATTTTGTTTAGTATATTTTTTACATGCTGTTCAAAAGTATTTTTGTTGTTACTTTACTGACTTTCTTGGTGTAAATAAATGTATAGAATTATGCTTTCACTAAAATAAAGCTGTCACTTAGTTGCATGTCAGTGGTTTGACACAGATTTCTCAGGGCCCGTCATACTGGGACCACTGATGATACTGTACCTATATTAGCCCTGCTGATGTTATTTAAACGAAAATCCAACTGGATCAAAAGGCAGTGAAAATGAAGTGTGATTTGTATAGAGTATAGTCTTTGCTTTTTCTGTGTGATAGTTAAGGATATTTCATATTGTCCCTCCTCATTATTGAAGGCATCGAATAGACCCTTTGTTCTATAGGATTAGCATGCATGAAACAAAAGAAATGAGTCAGTGATTTTTCTCTTTGAAAGGGGAGCTTGTTTGTTTGTTTGTACAAAATACATTTTTTCTGTGGCAGTTAAAAAACCACATGTATATTTGTGTACCTATAGACAGCATATTGGATACATTTAGATAATGAAGAATTTATGGTGATATGTTCAGTTTGAATCTTTTCGGTGTGTTGGAAAGGTGCGTACTGGTGGAACTGTCTAATCTTTGGCACCTTCTGTTGACCACAGAATCTGTCTGGAATTAAATGACAGTTCTCTGCTGGCCTAATTATTATTCATTTAACGCTTGTCAAATCTTTGATGTGGCCAACACCTGCACGGCACTTTTTAATTCCAACATGTACTTCTGTGAAAAACATACAGACTGGTGATGGCCAGGGACTGTGGTCTGTCCTCACTAGTAAAGAATCTTTGGTAACACTTTCTGTGAATGCCATGTCTATAGAATATATGAACACATTCATAACACATTATAATGCATTCATAAAACTTTATAAACATGGCTATCAATATTTATTTAAAAGGCATAACACATTATAGCCATGATTATTTTGCATTATAAATGATTATGTACTCATAATGCAGTATAAAGCATCCTTAATTGTTATACTGACCATTATAATGCATTATGAAGGTATCTATAGTGCATTATAGATGACAACTTTATTGGAGCTTATGAAGTATTATAATCAACACTATAATGTCTTATGACTGTCAATAAAAGATGCTGTAATGCTTTATTCATTCTTATACCGACCACCATAAGGCATTATGAAGGTATCTACAATGCATTATAGATGAGAGCTTAATAAAGAATTCACAATGCATAACAAACATGGCTATAATATGTTATGCCTTTTTATAAATAGTTATAGCTGTGTTTATAATACTTTAGGAATGCATTATAATGCATTGTAGTAACTGGTTTAAGTAAAGTGTTACCATGAGAGTTTCATTGGATCTTATGAAGTATTATAATTAATATTATAATACCTTATGACTGTCAATAGAAGATGCTGTAATGCTTTATTGGTTCTTATACCGACCATTATAATGCATTATGAATGCACCTATACTGCATAAGAGATGACATCTTTAAGTAAAGTGTTACCAAATCTTTTTTTTTTTTTAATAAGGTAATTCCAATTGTCTCCATGCAGTTCTTATATTCAGGATGAAGAAGGTCCTACAACGTTGAGCTTTTCCACGGGAGACACCTCCTACTCAGCACTTCCCAACATTTGTAGCACAGCATTTGCAACAAGATGCCAGCTAAAGATGGACCTTAATCATTTAATGTGATTATATAAAGGCTAAGGACAGGATTAAGGGGGTGGGGGGTCAAACCACCTGAGGCATGACTTCCAGGGAGAAGCCCTGGACCCTAATATTCAATACAGCCTGCAGGGGGCTCCACTCCTCTGGTCCACCAAGAGACACGGCCGCTGCATCTGCTCCTTAAATGTCATGGCAGTGTGATTCCGTGGCAGGGAAGATTTTACGTTTTGTCGCAAGTCAGATTTTCCCCGAGCTTTCACTAAACAATTCAAATTGTGGATTTAAGACATGCTCCACTCCTGGTATAGAATAAAAATATGATGGAACAGTAATAAGAACATGTATTTGGAAATTATAAATGTTTTTGCTTGGAACACAGAAATTATGCATAACATTCAGCTTAACCTCTGCTGAAAGTACTCTGTACAGACAGAAATTATAATATCCGACAAAACACATGCCTGTGATATATTGTTTACAGGTTTTTTCAGCTGCTTTGAAGCATTTTATTTTGTCGGTCAAAATAGAATTTGTAGTTTCTCATTGTAACAATTTTCCACCAAAAACTACATATGCATGTGATCATTGTGTTAACCAAGATTTCATAATGATTTAAAGACATATTCCATAAATTGCAGTGATACAGCATTGTTGTGTTTTTGGTTCCCACAATACAGTCATGGCCAAAATTAACGGCACCCCTAGAAGTTTTCCAGAAAATGCACCATTTCTCCCAGAAAATCGTTGCAATTAGAAATGTTTTGGTATACACATGTTTATTTCATTTATGTGCATTAGATCAACACAAAAAAAACAGAGAAAAAAGCCAAATTTGACATAATTTCACACAGAACTCCAAAAATGGGCCAAAAATTATTGCCACCTTTTCAAAATTGTGGGTAAATTGTTTTATTTCAAACATATGATGTTTGTTTGAAGTCACCTGTTGCAAGAAACAGGTGCTGGCAATATACAATGTAGCAATTGCACCTGAAGCCAGTTAAAATGGAGAAAAGTTGACTCAGCCTTTCTGTTGTGTGTCTGTGTGTGCAACACTAAGCATGAAGAACAGAAAGAAGAGTAGAGAATTGTCTGAGGACTTGAGAACAAAAATTCTGGAAAAATATCAACAATCTCAAGACTACAAGTCCATCTCCAGAGATCTTCATGTTCCTTTGTCCACTGTGCACAACATAATCAAGAAGTTCACAACACATGGCACTGTAGCTAATCTCCCTGGACGTGGATGGAAGAGAACAATTGATAAAAGACTGCAATGAAGGATAGTCCGAATGGTGGATAAACATCCCCAATCAACTTCTAAACAAATTCAAGCTGTTCTGCAGACTCAGGATGCAACAGTGTCAGCTTGAACTATCCGTCGACATCTGAATGAAATTAATCACTATGGCAGGAGACCCAGGAGCACCCCACTGCTGACACAGAAACATAAAAAAGCCAGACTGGAGTTTGCCAAAATGTACTTGAGGAAGCCAAAATCCTTCTGGGAGAACGTCTTGTGGACAGATGAAACCAAGGTAGAGCTTTTTGGTAAAGCTCATCATTCTATTGTTTACAGAAAATGGAATGAGGCCTACAAAGAAAAGAACACGGAACCTACAGTCAAACATGGTGGAGGTTCTAAGATGTTTTGTGGATGTTTTGCTGCCTCTGGCACTGGATGCCTTGACTGTGTGCAAAGCATCATGAAATCTGAAGACTACCAAAAGATTTTGGGGTGCAATATAGGGCCCAGTGTCAGAAAGCTGGGTCTGCGTCAGAGGTCATGGGTGTTCCAGCAGGACAATGACCCCAAACATACCTCTAAAAGCACCCAGAAATGGTTGAAGACAAAGCGCTGGAGAGTTCTGAAGTCACCAGCATTGAGTCCAGATCTAAATCCGATTGAACACTTGTGGAGAGATCTCAGAATTGCTGTTGGGAAATGGTACCCTTCAAATCTGAGAGACCTTGAGCAGTTTGCAAAAGAAGAGTGGTCGAGAATTCCAGTTGAGAAGTGTAACAAGCTTGCTGATGGTTATAGGAAGCGACTGATTTCAGTTATTTTTTCCAAAGGGTGTGCAACCAAATATTAACTTGAGGATGCCAATAATTTTGTCCGGCCCAGTTCTTGAGTTTTGTGTGAAATTATGTAAAATTTGGCTTTTTTCCTCTGTTTTTTTGTGTTGTTCCAATGAACATAAAGGAAATAAACATTTGTATAGCAAAACACTTGTAACTGTAGCAATTTTCTGGGAGAAATTGTGCATTCTCTGGAAAAATACCAGGGCTGCCAATAATTTCGGCCATGACTGTACATGAGTTTGCTGCCCTGTTGTTGTTCTTGAATCGCCGCTTTGCTGTTTTCGTGTTATAGTGCCGTGTGACTTTATTGTTTGCTATTGTACTGTGTCTTCAGATCTGAAGAAGTTACATGTGCATGTGAGTGCTTTCTCTCATACTGTAATGTAGGACCTTGCGAGGTTGAAACTGATGTCTTTGAAATGAATCAGCAACAGTTTACTAAAAAAAAAAAAAAAAGATCAGTCAGTGACAGTGAGAACATGGGAACCGATTATTATTCAGCATTGTGGAGCCTAGGAGCAGACTTACACTGACAGACTTACACTGACATACTTACACTGACAGACTTACACTGACACACTGACAATATATCTAAGCATTTTGACTCTCATAGGTAAAATGAAGCTTATTGTACTTTCCATTTTCATGGCACTGACTAATTCAGTGGTAGGATTATTTGCTTATGAGACATGAGTTAATTGTTTCGGGCAAGTTACAGGCTTTTGCAGCCAAACCATAGTAATGTGCTATATGCATGGACTGTTTTTAGAAATGCTCTTATAGTCTTGAGAATGTTAAGTATGTTTCATGAAATGTGCCAAAGCAATAGAGAAAAGCTGTTAAAAGTTCCCATTTAAAAGGAACATTTTATAAAATGTCTCTGTGTTTGGTGATGGCATGATTAGATAGATAGATAGATAGATAGATAGATAGATAGATAGATAGATAGATAGATAGATAGATAGATAGATAGATAGATAGATAGAAGGTCTGTAGCAATGTTGAGAGCACAAGTATATTTCCACAGTGGATGCAGCAGCCCTTGGGATCAGTAAAGACGAATTAGATCAAATCAGCAGCAAACGCAATAAGCACATTCACAGAAGCTCTACAGGCAGCTGGGCTGCAAGGTCTCACAGCGGATGCTATAAAGTTCGTGTAGCAGCCCGCATGTTGGAGTGAACGAAGTTTGAAGAGCAGCACCGCATTTAAACGTGACATTTACTTTGCTCCACATTTATGTGTTTTGTGTTTCATCCCTTTAAGTGTCATTTAATTCCTGGTCTGACAAATGAATTTTAGAAAGTAACAATAGAACTGATCTTTCTATTAAATGAAAAGCTATCTGAATGCGATTTCGGGATGATGCCGCTGGCCTTTGCTCCAAGTATGATCATTGTCTCCATATTAATCGCACTACTGCATGTTGCATGTGCATGTAACAGACGTGGCGATGGACTAAGGAAAATGGAGGGGCGTTTTTTAATGCGGGGGCGATGGTTATGTGGTATTTCTGCATACCTGTTTATAGCAATGTCAACGTTCATTAAAACTGCGTTTTATTTATAATATGCACATCTTGAATCGCCGTTAATCTAAAGCTTTACGAAGTTTTTACCCGAAGTTTGTTGAACATTACATAATAAGCACAGACTGACCTTTATGCCTTACGTTTTTCCGCTCTCATATCTCCCGATTATCCATTAAAAACACAACTCTCGTGTGGATTTTTACATGTCCCTATTTTTCATTCATTATAATAAATTTCAGTGAGGTTTTAATTAAGATGTTTCCACGCAAACAAAGGAAATTATAATTGAACTTTTGTGATTTACGGCGGTATATAAATGATCTCCTTACACTCACACCAAACCAACGACCTGTTTTTGTCCGTTATACTTTTCGTAAGTCTTCGGGATGAAATACTAATTTCCCCCCCATTCCAGCTGACAAATAAAAGCATGACATTCACGGTTCCACATCCACCCTCAACACCCCCAACGGTAACTGTAAAAAGTCTTATATAAAAGACAATTATATTTTCCATATAATATATATTTTTTCCTATTCCCCATACTGGTGGTCACTTCATTTTACGGACATCATAAATAATTCTAATATACAGTGTGATTATGCGACAAAACGTCCGTTGATACGGCTTAGTTTTTCTTTTGCTGCTGAATATCAGCGACTGGGTGTATTTTGGGGGTAAAAAACTAAATCCTGTCTGAAATGCGAGTTTGCTGCATATTTAACAAAGGGATTTTTCGCTAGGCGTGACGGGCATTCATATACCGGTAACCGCCATCAGGGGGCAGTGTTGGTCATCAACGGCGTGCCCAGTTATGACTGATCGGATGAATAATACATCAGGCATGATGGAGTCCATGCGATAAGCCTGTTCGGTATTTTAGGCAGGCATTGCAATCCGATATTATAAAACTTTGTCCTTTGCCCATTCTGGAAAGCAGCTGAAGGATAGTGCAGTCAGTTTGAGACTACCAGGCCGATTACATGTAAGTTAAGAAAAGTAAACATCCCAATAATCCATTAATAAAACAAGAAAATCCTTTTAAAAGTGAAAATGTGAAACCAGATATCATTAAAGACTGCCCGTGGAAATTGCTGTTCGTACTGTATGTAATTATTCGGTACGGAATTATAATACATCAAACCAGTTAGTGGATGAGCTGAACACAAACTGGGCATGCATAATATCGGGTTATATTCTCTGGAAGTTTCTGACAGTTATGTAACAGAGGCTCATTCACAGACTTTGCTGTGACAGCCGACTGAACAGTAAAATGTCGAGGGAGTTAAAAACGTGCACAAAGAGCATAAAACTGTGAAATCTGATAACTTTATTGCAGAGCGTGTTGTTGTTTTTTTGCCTAACACCCTGAAGGTTGCCGGTTCCAGCCCCAAGCGGAGCCCTGCCTCTTGAATAACAGAACCAGAATTACTGCACGTCGGCCCAAAAGGCGCAGCAACAACAACGGTTACGTCGCTGACATAAGAAGGAATTAAGTCACACAGGGTGTATTAAAATCGCCACGTTGAGGTTAGATGGGAGATACACCCTACAGAATTAAACCAGTAAACTAGGTTGTATAAAGTTCAAACATAATTTACTGGATGCATGGATCTCGGGGGTGGGATGGAATAAAATATTTTGGAGAAGACTAAATTAGGCAAGCTAGACAAATAGAACTGAAACCTTGATGGCCAGTGTTAAAGATAAAATAGCACGTTAATGTGAATTGAATTCCAGTTTGCAGTGCGGTCCGACCTACATGCGTTCGCGAAAAAGCCTTTTCTGTCGGCGGAAGCTCCTCCCCTCCGCAGGCGGACCGGGAGGAGCCCCGGTCCACACGGCCGGGGAGAGGAAGAGGTGAGCCGTGCCCAGCTCCCGTCCCCGCTAGCCCCACCGCTTCAGCCCGGGCTCCCCCACGATAATGCGGCCGGCGACATGAGCCGACAGCAAGATGAGCACGGGGTGGTCCTGACCGGCTACTTCAGCAGCAGCGAGGCCCGACCGGCGGCGGGCGTGAGCGGCGGAGATGACGCGGAGTGCCCGGTAACGAGGTGAGGGAGGGGGGTCGCCGACACCCAAGCGTGCGCCTCGGATTACGGAGAGTCTCACGGTGCGAAGCGCGAAGGTCCGCGGTGTCGGTGCGCAGCCCGTCAATAGCGCTGCTCTGCCGATGCTTAATTTATAAGGAGGCTGTACATAAAACAATTAAAGCAGCCTAAAGAAAGTTATGTTTTTAAGTTTATGGATAAGAACTTCAGAATTGCATGACATTTCCAATAATGCCTTCATGCATTTTTTATATTCCTCTGTTGCGAGCTGCATCACTAAACTAAGTCGAGGGGACAGAATTAATGCAAACTTTGTGACGATTCGCAAAGATCCTACGCTTCCTGGCATGAGAAACCAACCCCCTCCTTGTCCCTTCCTGGGGCCATCTGGAGGACGTGGGCGTGTTGCGTCCCTTTAGCCCCCCGGGGTCGCCGATCGCCAGCTGTGATCGCCCGCGGCTGCCCGACCTGTGCCGGGGGTCAGGCTTTTGTAACTGCCTGGGAAGGAGCTGCCGTCTTTTTCTCTGTGTCAGGATTTTGCATGGGAAGGTGGAGGTCACGTCGAGCCTGTACTTAAATGCATTTATTTTTGTTTTTTTGTCCTTAGGACATCTGGCTAAAACTACCGAGACATTGAGTAGTTTAGAGTCATTTGAAGTATAAAGTTTTGCCTTAAAGTTCTTTTTTTTTAACCCCTGCTTTTGATCTTGGCGAGTTTTTGTTGTTTTCATACTTTACAAGGAGCTGAGCGGATCCCATAAATAGCCTGACATATATGCGACTTGTATCCACCAGTGAGTTCTGAACAGCCCTCAAATGGATGTTGGTTTTAAGCTTTGCGTTTGTGTGTATTTGTCAGTTATCCAATTTATATTCAGACAACCTTTATTCGTCTTTGTCACATACATATTACAGCATATTAATGAAGGTATTAATGAAGGTATTATATACAATCCTATGTAACAAGTATTGGACAAATAGTACGTTACACTGACTTTGTTTTTACCATGTAGGCCTGTTAATATGTTGATATAACAAAATTAACAATTTCGTAGGACAATAGATGAGGGTACAGGAACCCTAACTGCAATGAAATGACCAAGTGGACCTCCTACCGGAATGCCACCAGCAGTGTGAGCCTATGAGGGAAACCCTAACATCAGAATCTGCAGCTGGAGAGTCTCAGCCTTAGTGTGTAATGTTAGGCCTACGCACATATTTTTTTATAACCAAAAATTTCCCTGGCAAAGCGCACTCGTTTATGCAATGGTCCGTCACATAGTTTAGAAGTTGCGGTTCCGTGGTAAAATGTTGCAATAAGTGTTTTCTCTGCATGTGTTGGATTTAAGCTAAATTGATGCTTGTTATCTGCAGTCAGATTACAGCCCACAAAGAAGTAAAAACAGCAACAAAAGCAAAAAAAGAAAAATAACAGAAAGAAAAACAGTAAAATTGTTAGCAATTTTAGAATTGGTTGGAAAAGGGGGTTTGTCCCTTTGTAAGTAGCACTGGAGAGTTGGGTTGATGTAGTCAAGCAGGGTCAGATGAGTGGAATGTTCTGAGAGTCTTGCCCACGGCCCCGTGAGATTACCCCGGCGGAGTCTCTCTTCTGGATGATTTGTCCGGGTGTGGGGTCATGGTTGGCCCATCAGTCTCCCTGCATCATAAATGAAACAGGCCAATTCGGTGCCATCCAAGAGATCTCCAAGTCGTCGAAGGGGCCCGTGGAGTTGCCGTTGAGAGAGTTCCGCCTCCGCACGATGGCTCACCGCCGACGCTATGCCGCAGGAGCCGACGGTGAATCCACGTGTAATCTGGAGCGCGTCTGGAAAGCCATTAGATCCCCATCACGCACTGCTGGTGGCAGCGGTGACGCCCGGTGTCCCCTTTCAGTGGCGTGTGCACGTCCTCCGGAATAAAAGCCCTTCAGATAAAAGCAGACAAACATCCGCCGATCCAACACGGCCCGGGAGCGTGCTGGTGTTGTTCTTAGAGATTAAAATGAGGAGATGCTATCGACAGACTGTGCCCAGAGTCTGCCGCTCTCTCCTGTCCGTGACGATGAGAATGGGGAAGAGCATCCGCCAGTCATGGTGGCTATTCACTGTGTAACCTCTGGGAATTTATCCCCGCTGGTTCTGTAGCGCTGCTGCTCTTGGTCAGCCATGTCACTACTCCCCCAGGGATATTATTATTATTGTTGCTGTTATTAGTTAAATAATACATAAAAATACAAGTTGACATCCCAGAGCAGGAAGCACTATGGTTAAAATAAGTTCTTCAATCCTTGGACTCTTCCCTTGGACCCTTGAAAAAATTCTTTATCCCTCAATCGCTTGAGTCGAATTATAAATGGGAAAATCCTTACAATGCTTTTGATTGAAAACTGCTATGTATAGCAGTAATGTGACTTAATCTTTATTGAGATTACCCATTTACAGGTGGCGTGTTATGCAAGAGCAGTGCCTGCATATCTGTATGTCTGGGGGGAGAGTCTGTGGCCTGCAGCCTGTCGCGACCTGCCTGAGGTCCGTACGGGGCGCCGTGGCATTTCTGCTGCTGTGTTTGAGCTGACGAAGCCGTCGGGCAGCCAACCAAAGAGAATCGAGTGTTTCTTTCCTCTTTCCTTTGTGACCCGACGTCGTCACCCTGGGATTCCGCATCCTGGCTGACCTTTAGATCTTAACGGGCCTGACTTTGAGACGCCGTTTGCTTCGTGTGCTTTAGAGCCGGCCTTGACTTTGCTTGTGTTCTAGATTTTTCCGTCCTCTTCCGGATCAGACAAAACCATGTTCACATGCGTCCCTGTTCAGGTTTCTGTTTGCGCTGCACCTTGTGTGTTTAAAATGTGCTTGTTTCTGACTCATCTTTGTTTAACCTGTTTAATGCTTCGTAAATAAAACACCTGGGGAAGTTGGTCACATCTAAAATTGGCAGATATATTTGTTCCTTCCTGAAACCACACGATGTTTGAGACGGCCTTTTTATAGTGTTTTCATGGCTTTTCTAGCTCTATGTGCAACACTAGGAGGATAACGGCATTGTTTGCTTTCGTAAAATGTACGGTATGTGCTTATCTCAGCAGAAATCAGAAAATATTATCATGAGAATTCTTTGAGCTTGTCTTGTTTAAGCCTTGGCAACCTGTTTTTTGACTACATTACCCATAATCCCGAATGCTCTGTCTTTTTATTTTTTTTATTAGCTAGTTCCAAGAATGGTCATATGGAGAGCATATAGAGTGTGTTGCGTTTCGTTTTCTGTGTGAAACTGCACACCCTTGATTTTCTCCTTGCTCGCCCTTTCAAATACTCGTTGCGACTGAGCGGCTGCAAGCACTTTTGTGTGTTGAAGTCGTGCAGACATTAATAAAATTGCATGTGTATGTTGACCTGTCGCTTAAAGCATTGTCTCCAGATTTCATTCAGTCTAGAAGTAACAAGCCCTCTTTATCAAGTACCTCACTTTTTTTCGATATCGCCGGCGCAGAACCTCCCTAAGATCCAGAGCTGAAAGGAGCTGTTTGTCCTGTGCTTAAAATGTCATCTGTTACTGACACTTCATACATTTCCTGTCACCTGCACTCCTGGTGGACTCATTTTACACACTGTGTGGCCCTTCACATAACACAGGGTCCCAAACGCTTTTTGTGCGAGTTAAAAAAAAAAAAAAAATCGCCTTCTCTGAGGCTGTAGCCTCATCTGCTCGACTTTTTTTTCTTCTGCTAAAATGTTCAGAATTTAGTCATAAAAGTTCAGTATTTAATCATTTATGTCTGCAGCACCAAAGACGGCCTGTCGTATCGTCACTAGGGGAGGAGGATTCTTTGTGGTCTGTGGCACCAGCCGGTACGAGGGGTAAATGTCCCCATTATCAGCTGACAGTGTTCAGTGATAGCAAACATATTCTGCGGTACTTATGGGTGGAAGTTCCACTCTGTTTGGGCCTGATTTAAACTAGATGGGTTGGGGTTTTCCTAGGGGGATGGGGGTGTGGGAAAATGCTGAGGTTTTAGGGTTTTTTTTTTATTGTAACTGATCCCCGTCAACAGAGGTTTTACCAGCGGGGTGGAGTTCTGTAGCAGTTCCCAGTCTTACCCTTGGGCCCCGCCCCCCCAGGTCTCACCCTTGGGCCCCCCCCCCCAGGTCTCACCCTTGGGCCCCGCCCCCCCAGGTCTCACCC